TTTTTTTTACATTTTTTCTATACGGACATCCAAATGACGGAACAAGTTCCGTCGATGATGGTTAGGTATCCATTTTACAAAATATTATCCATATTGTGTAATTACGTGAAATGGAGAAATCGCGGTTCCATTTCGCGAAATGGATGCAAACGTTGTCCATTTCGCGAAACGTACAATAACGCGATATGGATGCGACATATGCAATGAATTAAAAACAGTGAATAAAACGTTATAACAACTGTCTTGTATATTATTTTTGCCGTTTTAATGGTTTTTAGAAGAATGTGTAGTTGAACAAACCAACAGTTTATGTAATATTCAAGTACATTTTTTTTTTTTTTGAGAAAATTAGTAGAGAAAGTGGCAAACTCACAACGACTAAAACATTCAAACATTTCCCAATTCTTCTCGACCAAACTTTGATTTGATTCGAATTTCAATGTGATCAGATCTGTGTTTTTTGTTGTTTCACATGATATATGTCCTCGGTCACAAAAAGGGTTAAAAGTATTTTATCGTAATTGATTAATAGTTTTTTTCAATGTTTTGTTTGAATATTATATTGAAAGTCTTTTGGTCTCACGATAAAATCATTAAAATCCATTGATTCATTTTTACTTCAGACGAATAAAAAAATTATTTATAAAATAACAATACAAGTATTGCCAACATTTATTAAAACTTTATGAGTACGAATACACATATTGCTTGTTTAGAATAGAAATCATTTTTTTTTTTTTTTTTTTTTTAATTGTTTTTTTTTTGTGTATATTCATAATTTTTTGGTTGTTATAGCTATCCGCTAAACGTGTTAATCTCTATTGTAATGAAAAATACGCCAACGCCCTTATATTGCATACGTGACGTTCCGTTTTGTACATTGAAGTAGATAATTTAATCTGTTCACTCTATTGTTTCGTGCAATAGTATATTTGAAATTATTTTCTTCCGGCGTTTATATAGGAATTGAAAATTTAAAATACTATAGTGAGATATGATCACCAATATGTCATAAATTGTGTTTTATCAATTAAGGAAATAAAAAAAAAATACATTTATAAACAAGACATACTTATCTTCCACGTACATAATATTTAAATATATTTCACATTATGTGCTCAATTAGAAATCAATCTAATGAAAATCTGTTGTATATAGTTACAAGTGTATAATTATTATAGAAAGTTAATTGAAACTTTGTTCAGAGATTGAAGATACTTAAAACATTCTAGTGGAGCAATATAGTTGTAATTCCATTGGTTTTGTTATTTTACCATAAAAATTGATCACATTAAGTTTTTGTAAAATAAGAAAACCCTATTGATTATTTTATTAACTTAGTTAGATTATTAATGTAAGTCCTGAGTAACGGATAATTAATCTTTTTACACTCTATTATAGTGATGATCAACAAGAAAAAACTGACGAGTTGCATTTTAGAGTGAAAATAAAATAGCTTTAGATTGTCATCAAGTGTTTGCTGAAAATATAATTTGCACATGATTATTAACTGTCCCTATTATACATATTACCGTTCCTTTGTCATCAAGTTTGCTAGTCTAGTCGGTACTTAAACCAAAATATTTAGCTCCATCAAGTACGTTAAGTTAGTAGTTAAGTAAGTTTAAAGTTTATATTTCTTATGATAAATCAGATAGTCTTGTATTTTATTGCTCGAGATATTAATAAAAGGACAACTCTCACGTATCATTTTACATACATTTTGTACAAAATATTGGGAGGTTATATGTCAAGTAATTTTTATTTTTCATTTTTCTTCCATTCACTGTGTCAGTTGACCGGAAACTATCATCAACTAACTATGACAACCGTTTCTTTGACTGAGTTTATGAGAAGAAAACGAAGAAAATAATATTTAGATTGATGATATGAAGAATCTAAAGTGAATATTTACTTTAATGGTGGTCGTGGCACAATATTTAGGTGTAATACTTATGTAATTTATTAAAAATAAAGTAAATATTTTAACAAGACCAATATAGTATATGTATAAAAAAGTTCATAAAGATAACCATGTATAACAAAGCGAAACTCGTATGGTTAAAATAACACCGGAAAGTTTTTTTTTTAACAATTCATTGTGATCTGTTCCGATGCATTTTTTTTTTTTTTAATGTAAGGCGTTCGAATTTTATGTTATCCACTACGGTTTAATTTTGTGAGTTCTTAAAGGAGAATACAAGTTTATTTTTGTAAATCTATTTAAAAATAAACAAAAAGGTTATTTTGTATTTTATCTTATATAGCAAGTATAAGTTCAACCCAAAATGTAATATATATATATATATGTAAACGTAATATTTATATATTATTTTCTCTTATTGTGGTAGTTCTGGAAAATGTTGACTTCATATAAAGCATGATTTTCAAAACTCTCAGTATTTATTAATGCCTGATTATTTGCTATTTACAATATAAAGAGCAGAGGAATAAAATTAATCTTAACTTTTTAAGAGCTTCAGAAATCATTGACATAAATTCTCCTTAGTACATTTAAAAATATACGACAACGTCTGACCGTAGTTTAAGTATAATTGAACCAAACTCTTGTGTGAGTATAATACGACTGTGGTTGTGAATGGATTCTTTAGAACTATTACTCATCTTTTGAAATTGGAGCGCTTTTTTTATCGGTTCAATGCCCACGCCTATAGAAACATTTCCGTCATTAGTAAAGAAGTAAACCTTTAAAAAAAATTGAAAAAAGTATATTTTTTTATAACAGCATTTTGTGGCTACCATTGTGAGATATTATAGTATCTGACAATAATTTTGAAATTATTCAGTTGGAACAAAATAATATAAATAAATTACCATACGGATGAAAACATTTATGTGAATGGCGATTTAATTAATTACAAAATTTTCCAGTTTGGCCATTTAAACATCGTTAGTAACACTTTAAATCTGATTTTTTCTAACTCAGGTAAATGTATATTACACTGTAAGCTCAACACTGAATAAGCAAACTGTTGCTTAGTGGAATATGTGGTGACATAGGCACTTGATGATTCTTGAAGTAGACACGCGAATTACTATTATTATACTGTATGGCTACAAATAGTATTAAAGTATGTATTAGATAACACAAGAGTTATTTTTAACCACATATAGTACAATAATTATATGTTACATAAATATTGAATAAATATAATATACTTTTAATGTGATTAGAATCGATGTTTTTTTATGTGTTATTTTAACCCTCGTATAAATTATCTTTGAAATGTATCAAACGTACATATGGGGAGTTAGGATATTATTAGATGACTAAAGTCTTCTTTTTACGGTGTTTTGATTTTGATTTGAATCTCTTCTCCGAGTTTGTATTGGTGAATTCAAAAGGGAGAGAGAGAGATAGCAAAATAGTTTCGCTAGATAGTGACTCTTTCAAAAAAAAAAAAAAACGAGAAACGTGGCCGATTATCTGATTATATTTTGGGTAAGTATAGATTAAATCCTTTAGCTACTAATATTAAGATGTAATTAACATCTTAAAATATTTAAAACAAGTCATCGCCTACGTCTATGTATTGTTTATTTACAGAAAGTAACTATGTCTAGGTTTAATAAAATATTCGAAGAAATAATTAGTGAATAATATATGTATCAAAATGTTTAAGATTCTTAAAAACAATATATTCATTATGTATATATGCTTCACGAGTAACTGTAAAATAAAAATCTCAAAAAAATATTTTTGAATTAATTTTTTTCACGTTGAAAAAATACTAGCAAAATATCAACAAATAATAATATAAATTAAATATTTAATTTTGAATTCATAAAAGACATCATGAACTAAATACTCGAAGATGAAATGTCAATCACTCTGTTAGAACTCTCGTTTGTAATATTTTAATTTTCCCCCCTTATTTCAAACTTTTAAACTATAATTTATATAAATTGTCTTCATAGTAAATATATATATATTATGTTAATTTTACCAAAGTGAAACCAACACAATTTTCACAATCATATATGGTATATTGTATAATACAATCATGTATGAATGACCAATACACATTTCATTATTGGCTATTAGCTTTTGTCGAATACAATCAAATATTACTACTTGCGGTCAAATGTTGTTCATTGGTGTTCCTTGTATTTATGTATTTGTGGTTCTCATCACCGTTTTCTGCACGAATAATAGTTCTTACGATTTCCGCTCACACAACCTTTCTAATCAATATCTTCCATAAGCGATTGCGTATTATTTGCTCGTGTTGACTTCTATAGTTATACTTCGTGAAATCCCACAGCGAATAAAAACGCGGATTTAATGCAATACACGGGTACCAGATGAATATTATATTTAAATCGATGTACAATCCGATCACGTACACCATAATTGGAATA